ACTCACATTCACAGCACACCATAAATCAAAGCGTCTGCGCATTTCAACGGCTGCTTTTTATACGAATTGACAGCAGAGTATATTGGTTTTGTGCAATGTTTAGATTGCTAGACGATCGATCTGTCTGCTGGCTGAATGTGAAACGTGAATTGAAGCAGGAGGCTTGGAACTAAGGCTATCGCATGAAAGTTATAGACTAGAGACTAGAGACGAGAGACTAGAAACTAGAGACTAGAGACTAGAGACTAGAGGCTAGAGGCTAGAAACTAGAGACTAGAGACTAGAGACTAGAGACTAGAGACTAGAGACTAGAGACTAGAGACTAGAAACTAAAAACTAGAGACTAGAGACTGCAAACCTAAAGACTTATATAAGGTTCACCCATATTTAATTTAGTATAAACGAGTATTTCACAGTCAGTTGAGTCTAACTTCTGTTTGCTTAATGGTTTTTTCTTTCATAATTATTTATTAGTGTATTTTTTATAAGTCGCTGTTAAAATGTCGCCGCCGCCGTCGGGCCCCCCAGGGTCTGAAACGGAACGGCGGCTGCATTCACTTACTTCAAGAAATTTTCAACAGCTGGAAAAGCATTTCCGTTTAGCAGGAATAACAATTCGCATGAATCCATTGTTGGCTTGAGACTGATCAGTGCACTAACTGGTTCCGGACAGCTGTTTGTTCTATATTTATCTGACTAAGCCCCATGCGGCAAGTGTAGAGTAACCCAGTCGTATTCTCGGAATAATAATAAACTTATCTCAGCTCTATGGCAATGGGCTGCAGTCGAAAGCACTCGGGCCTCGAGCTTTGTCACCCCAACTTCCTATGCCGCGAGATGTCCGACCGCTAGACGCAAGGGTCAACTTCCCTATTTACCCATTAGCTACTTATCAGCGCCTGGTACTCTATGCGGAAGCATTCAGCTTGAACGACGTACAGTGAAGCGTGGGCACTTGAAATTTCTATTTGATTTGAAACGGAATAAGTTTGGCTTCTGGAATATTCTAAGATTGATGTTCAGCTGTTCTATACTAAATCTCTAGTAAAAGCATTTGATGTGAATCATATGCTAATATTAAGAATGAATATTTCATTAGCTTGTCTGACTGTTTGCCTCACTGTGCAGCACCTTACAATAGCGGAACCTAGCCTCGCAAGGTTATGGGTCTGACATTTTGGCACTGGGCCAGTCTGAACCCCAAAGCGCTTATGCCGTGTGCTCTATTAAGGTCAACATGTCAATTTCATTGCGATAAGGCGTTAAAGTGTTCAAGTGTGTGTGTATGTGTGTGTGTGTGTGTATGTGTGTGTGTGTGTGTTTTTTTTTTTTTCGCAGCTCTGAAAATTTGTGTTTGGTTATTATTGGGCGCTATTAGGTATATATGTGGGCACGACACACGGATCTTTATGGGCAGCGCCTGGTCAATGATCAGACTGAGTAGTTTGTTTACCTAGACGCCGTGCTGTTTCAGATGTGATTAGATTAAGTCGCATTTTACTACTATGATTGATGGTTTATTTTTAGCTAATTTGGATTATTAATATTTTATATTGCGGCTCGCTAATCAACACAATTGTGGGCCTCTGGCAGTTTTCCGTTCCTATATATCAATTATTATTTATTTTATTGGCATACATATACATAATTGAACTTTGGGCTCTAGCGGGCTTCTGCTGTCCAAGTTGATTCTTTGAGGGGTTTATCATCTAGCTGAGTGGTATACCAGCTACTTGGCTACTTATTGATAGGAAATTAATGATAACGGTTACTACGCTGCTACCTGACAGTTTGTCGCCTTGTATACTGCGTCTTAGCGAAGGTCTAGTTAAGGTCTAAATGGGGTTTCATTTATCTCTTTGTGGAAGTGAGAAAAACAGGAAAAGATAGTTGGCACTCTGAGTCAATCATTTTGTGGAAGATTCTATGGAAAGTTAAGAGATTTGTTAGTAAACAACTTGTTTTTTCCTCATTAATGACTATCAATAATTAATAGCTAGCAATACCTGGAAGCTGAATTCTATAAGACAGGAATATTTCTGTCATCATTTCGGGGAACGATTCTTGTGGCTTATAAGAATAATTATGATAATTGTACAATGATAATGTAAACAGCAATTATAATAATGATGACGAAGACAATGGTAATGCTAATGAAAATATCGATAACAATAACAATGACAATGACTGTGATTATGAAGATTGACACTGAGAAAATCATAATAACAATAAATATGGCAATAACAATGGTAATGACAAATACCAATGATAATGATAATGTTAATGAAAATGACAATAACAGCGACACAATGCCAATGACTATGAAAATCACAATGCTTAATTGTTTACCCATCGATTCCTTCAGTATACCAAATGAAATTGAGATACATATATGTATGTGTAAATATTTTGAGATTTTTAAAGATATTCTCCGTTTCCTATATGGCTAACATGCATTCATATGTGCTATACCTGGAGATCATTTGCATTTTCTCACTCGTTAGCTCGTTAGAGTTGAGTGCTAAGCCAACAGTTGGTGCCATCGCTTGGTTATCTATCGCATTCATAGCCGAGCCCACTCGACCATAGCCCAAAGTCAATAACACTTGCGAAAATTGAGCACGATAAGCACGAGTGCCATAACAACAACAACAACAACTACAACAACGACAATTAAGTAGTACAACAAATCAAATAAAACGAAAAGTAGCAAAATGTGAATGCGTGACCGCCAACTCCTTCTTTCAGCTGAAATTTACCTAGCTGCCCCACCTGTTGCCTACCCACCCTAATCATAAGATTCAAAACTCGTGCTCATGATTATATGGCGACAGCGGAACGTAACGCTTATCAGCTAAGGGTTTGGGGGCGGGGGTGTTGATTATTGGTGTTGTTTTTTAGTTTTATCTAGCTGGGGCTTGACATTTTGCGTGTGCCATGACGAATGCTCGGCTACGGCAACAGTGGCTGCTATTCATACACCCACACACCAACACACACGCACACACATACACATGCGTTGTTGAAAAAATTTTCCATGAATTTGTTGTATATTTTTCGCCGCCTGTTGTTTGCAACATGTACAGTGTGTACACTGTACAACAGCGTTCGGGTTGCCTGTTTTTGCTTTTATCAATAATTATTCTGTTGTACTCGCTGCGAGTCAAGTGCTGTTGTTATTGTTGTTGTTGCTGTTTTGTGCTTATCAGCCAAAAGGGTGGGTGGGTTGCTTGCGGTGGGCGGGCGACAATCAGCTAGTCGTGTGACACAGACACAATCACGTAGGCCGTCGGAACGATCGTACGTAGTCGTAACCACGTATGTGTATGTGCGTGTGTGTGTGTGTGTGTGTGTTGGGGGCAAAGCTTGTGCCGTGCTCCATCTATAATTAGCTTAAGGCGCGAGGCAAATAAAAGTCACAGCAACAACAACAACAATAACAATTACAGCGATTGTAACAATTGCAGCGACAGCAAAAACAACAAAGGCAAGGCTATCATCATCGATCGATCGTTTGTCGTAAATCGTCTATCGTCTGCCGTCTGTTGCCAACCCAAATATTAACCATACCCTACCTAACTGTTCGATATACCCTACGCCAGCTAACTATAGCAATTGCCTTGCTAATTGATTGACGCAGCCAACTGGCTATCTATTGCAACTTATCGATGATGATGATATTGTCCAGGTGCACTAAATATGCCTAATATATATAGGTATAACTATATCTATATATATATCTCTGGCCATTTTGCTGGCAGCCATGCTTAAAGGCAGCGACAGAAATCAATGTGAAATTTAATGCAATTTTAATGCAGCGGCCATTATTCAACTTGCAAAATAATTAAACTTGCTGCAACAACAGCAGCAACCGCAGCAGCAACCGCAGCAGCAGCGACAGCAACAGCAGCTGCAACAGCTGTGGGGTGTTAACTTGCTTAACGTGCAACAAGTCGCTGGCAATTATGAGTTGCAAGGCGAGCTTTGAGCATTGCAAGCCAGGATGTAGGGCCAGGGCCTCGCTTTGATTCGCCATGAATGCAAATTGCAGCAACCTACAGCAGCAGCAACAGCAACAACCAGCGACAGCAACAGTCCAAGCAGCCTTTTGTAATTGAACAATTTGCTGCTGGACCAGGCAGCTGCTCATGCAACAAAAACAACAATAGCTGAAGCTGCTGCAGCATCAGCAATGGCGTCTTCAAGTACCGTGTCGCCTAAGCGAAAGTTTACTGTAGCTAAAGTTGCACAGTTTATGTAAAGTTGCATAGTTTTTATATTATAATAATAATGGTAGAAAAAATTATAAATTATAATAA